GCAATGAACCTGAAATATATGAAAGTTTCATTTTTATCATTACATTATGGAAAATAATGACCTTTATCACAATATGCTAATTTTTTGAGAAGGATCTGTAGATGTCTGTGATGGTGGGGAGATTGACTCCAACATCGTCTGTGCAGCCTTCACCACTTTGCAAAACTTTTCTTCCTGCAGCTGTGCAGCCTCCATGCCACACAACTTCACAACTCCACGACTTATGTTGTGACTTGGCACTATACAAATAAATTGAGTTGAATTGAACTGTGGCTCCTCGGACTGATGAAGTCTTTTTGATGAAAGACGAAACGTTTCAACAACAAAAACAAAACAAAAAAACTTCCTGAGGACCTGACTTAACTTTGTTGGATTTTTCTACCTGATTACTAAGCATGAACATACGGTACTTCCTTCTTATGTTGATCTTCCTACGCTATTGTGGTGGTACCAAGTGGATCATATTAAAATTATGTGATTTACAAGGCACACCGGTTCGTAGCTCTTACAAAAATACTTGACATCTGAGACAGGCTTGCAAAATTAGAAAAGTTTATTCACCTTTTTATAAATACTTTTTTAAAAATCCTATTAAAAAAAGGGAACAACACAAAACTCAGGAGCTGAGGTTACCGGAAGGTTACCGGTTATCCTTTTATACTCAGCCCACTTAACAGGAAGTTACATTTCCCTAGCCAGGTCTATTTCCATACTGCTACACTATGTAAATGTTATGTTTAATAGGTAAATGAGGGCACAGATTGTGTTGTAGAGTTCTTTGAATATATTTATTTGGTGGAAAGGCACTATATAAGTTTAGTCCATTTACCTTTTACCATTTAATCAAATTGAATTGAACTCTGTAACCTACTAGTTTCAGACTGGAAATACCATCTTAAAGAGGCCTTCCATTCCAGATGGAAGGTGAAACGTTTCAGAAAAAAAACAAAAAGAAACTGTCCAGATGACCTGACTGAAAATTGTTGGATTGTATACCTGGATTATTGAGCATGGACTTTTTTTGGTTTTGAACCAGTTTGACATGACTGTCTACGAGGAAGAGGGCCAGCACAAGAGGAAGTGCGTGCCAAAGACACCATCTTAGCACCAACATAACTGGTTTGTTCCATTTTAGAGTAAGCTGTTTGGGGGAAGAATCCGTTTTGTGTTGTGTGTTTCCTTGACTGATGAAGCCTTCTGGATGGAAGGTGAAACGTTTCAGGAAACAAAAAAGAAACTGTCCAGATGACCTGACTGGAAATTGTTGGATTGTATACCTGGATTATTGAGCATGGACTTTTTTTTTTTTTTTTTTGGTTTTTCATCTTAAAGAGGATTGAATATTAATGCACATCACATTTTTCAGGTTTTATTTTAAAAACTTTGAATCCTTTTACCAACAATGTTATTGAGGTTTTCATCCCATCATTGAAAGATCTAAAAATCTGTTGAGATTTCTGTAATCCAGTTTATTTATTTTCAGAAATGGTGCCAAAGTTCAGAGCTCTAAAGAAACCTGCGCAGCTTGCCGTCATCAACAGTTTAGAGAAGGTACCTGGTTTTACAGCCTTTGGAGATTACAGATCATCATTCACATCTTGTTTTTAGCACCAGTAATGTTATCTTGCATTTTCTCTGCAGGCTTTTTGGAACTGGGTGGAAAATTACCCAGATGAATTCACAATGCTGTACCAGCGTCCACAGACTGACATGGCAGGTATGAAACACAACAAACCATTTCAATTTTCAGATTTAGAGCAAAATTAGGTATCCGCTTTTATGAAATAAATCAACATCTACTTTCCCCAGATGGAATAAAATGCATGTTCTTTTAAAATACAGAGACTAAAAAGGTCAGTTTATAATGTTCAGTTTGAACAGTTAATTGCAGGAATAATGCAGGGAGTAGTCAAATTGTTTTTTTTATTCATCAACTATGATGAGGACATGAACAAGTCTTTATTAATTTCAAAATGTAAAAAAACAAAAATGTATATTTTTTATTGTTAGTATTACTGTAGATGAACAGATGCTGAGAAATATTCATCAATTAAAACGGATTCCTCATTTTTCTGGACTGAATAAAACGTGCATTGAATTTAATGAAATGTAAACGTGAGACGTCATTTATCTTTGACCCATCAAAATGAATGCGGTCATTTATTTTACAGAATCAAAGTTTAACATCAAACATTTACATTAATTTGGCAAAATATGAAAATAACAACATAATTAACAGCTTTACAGGTAGTGAGAAACAATGCGGCGATTGTTTCCACTCTTCAGCAGAACAGCAGACATCAATGAAAACTGTACAATTATGATCAATTATCCACACGGCGGTGGATGAGCACTTTACACAGACATTTCTAAATTATCTGGAAGGATTTCTACTTGAGAGAAGAATTTAAAGATGGAAATGAAGTTTAAAGGGAGTAAAAGATGGTGTGTGAGGGGAAGTGTTGACCAGAACCGACACTCTCCATTAGAACCCAGCTTTTCCTCGGTACGCTTTGGTAGGAAACTTGACTCATTACCTTTCTGAAGATAAATCAGCAGATATGGAGGTCCAGTTAACGCTACCTGTCCAGCGTCTCCATAGGATGGCTGTGACTCGTCCGAAGTAGTGACGAGATTCCGTCCGACACCAGCTCACCTCAGCAAGTGGACTTCACATGAGTGGAGTCCTTCAGAAGTTCCACTCAGAGGTGGAAGATGTTATAATCCAACTCGAAGAGCCTTATCATGGCTGGACTTCTGTTCTCCCAAACGACTTCACAGAACTGCGAACATCTCAGAACTTCTCCGCGCCGCCGAACTGTGAGAACTAGGAAGTACCGGCAATTTAAAGAGCTCTATTTCCGGTATATTTGAGCGTCCCTGATTGGTCCATATTAACCAGACAGGGGTGTGTTTTGTGATGTAAGAGGTTACTAGAAGTCAGAAAACAGCAAGAATTGTTATGGAACAGATTAAACTGTTCTCAGAGACAGAGTTTTGTTTTGGCGAGTTTGGAAACAGGTGCCAACTTCTCTGTTGACATCTGAGAGGATGTAAACAAGACAGTTGTTCCAACACATGTCTGCTTCGACTCCTGACCTTGGAAAACGCACACTTGCTCATTCAAAGACAGAAATCAGAAAATGCATAAAAATCTGTAACAGACCTTAACATGAATTCTAACTCTGCATATGGCTTAAAAAATCATTACACTGTTTCACAGTTAATAAAATTGATTAGTTCACTGCAACATCTAAAATGGTTTGAACTAAGACACTTTGATTATCAACATTTGTAAAATAGTAATGATAATAAAAAGAGAGTGTTCTTTCACTTGATTTTCAAGAAGGAAAGTCTCAGGATGGGTGAACCTGTATTTCTGGATTCAGATCAATGAAATGACAGTTTCTGTCCCACAAGGTTCTTAAGGTCAAGGGTTTTGACCTTAGGCTTAGTTTTGACATCAGGTTAAGTTCACTACATTACTCTCTTGTGCAACAAACACCCAGCCAGTTTATAGTTTGAACAAAACAGAGGGATCAGAATACCTTTTTAATCCCAGGGGGAAACTGACTTTGTCACAGTTGTTCCATGTAAAGCTATAAAATGTAAACATACAATAATATCCAAGTACATGCATATCTGAATGAAAATGAGAGAATAAAGAAAAATTAAAAGATTTAAACGTTTACTATGAAAATGTAATAAATACAATATGTGCATTGTATATATTCAAAGTATGTGAAGCTCTAGTGCCAGTGTATAAATATGTGCATAATGTTGACAAGGTAAGCAATTCAATGTGTTAGCAGTGTGTTAGCATTGTGCTAGCAGTGTGTTAACGGTGTGTTAGCAGAGTGTTAACAGCGTGTTAGCAGTGTGTTAGCAGTGTGTTAACAGTGTGTTAACAGTGTGCTAACAGTGTGCTAGCAGTGTGCTGGCAGTGTGTTGGCAATGTGTTAACAGTGTGTTAGCAGTGTGTTAGCAGAGTGTTAGCAGAGTGTTAGCAGTATGTTAACAGTGTATTAGCAGTGTGTTAACAGTGTGTTAGCAGTGTGTTAACAATGTGTTAACAGTGTGTTAGCAGTGTGTTAGCAGAATGTTAGCAGAGTGTTAGCAGAGTGTTAACAGAGTGTTAGCAGTATGTTAACAGTGTATTAGCAGTGTGTTAACAATGTGTTAGCAGTGTGTTAGCAGAGTGTTAGCAGAGCGTTAACAGTGTGTTAACAGTGTGTTAACAGTGTGTTAGCAGTGTGTTAGCAGTGTGTTAGCAGAGTTTCTAACAGTCAAAGGGAGGAGAGTTGTCTAGTTGGATGGCCACAGGCAGAAATGACTTCCTATGGCACTCTGTCATGCATTTTGGTGGTCTCAATCTTTCAATAAATGTACTCGTGTGTTTGGCCAGCACATCATGGAGAGGATAGGTGACATTGGCATGTCACAGATGGCATCCTCCTACCTGACTCTACAGTCATTGAATTTAGCTCCACCCCCACAATGTTACTGGCCTTGTGGATAAGTTTGTTGAGTCTGTTGGCATCTGCTACCCTCAGTCTGCTGCCCCAGTACACAACAGCAAACAGGAAGACACTGGCCACTACAGTCTCATAAAACATCCTCAGTATAGTTAGACAGATGTTAAAGAACCATAACCTCCTCCAAAAATAGAGGTGGCTCTGGCCCTTCTTGTAGAGGGCATAAGTATTCTTAGTCCAGCCCTGTATATGGTCACTGAACGCTCCTAAGTATTTATAATCCTCCACAATGTCCACAGTGATCCCCTGGATGGAAACGGGTCAACAGTGTCCTGACCCTCCTTAGATCCACAGCCAGTTCATTTGTCTTTGTCATGTTGAGCTACAGGTGGTTCTGCTCTCACCATGTGGCAAAGTTACCAACTACAATTTTGTATTCAGTATCATCACCATTACTGACACATCCAACTATCGCATAGTGACCACAAAATTTCTGGAGCTGGCAGGACTCTGTCTGGTAGCTGAAGTCTGTGATGTAGAGGATAAAGATGAAGGAAGAGATGACTGTCTCCTATGGGGCCCCAGTTTTGCCGACCACCCTGTCTTACACACAGTCAGTTCTGCAAGTGCTCATACTGTGGTCTGTCAGTCAGATGGTTCACCATCCAGGACAGGAGGGGGGCATCCATCTGCATTACTATAAGATGGCTCTGTAGTATGCTAAGGCTAGGTTAGCTTCAGTTAGCTTCAGAGCTCCACTACAGTCAATTTTTAATAACGGGTTCTCACTTTTTTGAGCTACTTGACAGATATGTGACAGAGGTTCTATGTGGGAGATGGTCTAATCAGTGACACGAGACGTTAATTTTCTTTGACCCATCAAAATGAATGTGGTCATTTATTAACAGAATCAAAATTTAACATCAAAACATTGTACACTTGATTATACTGGTTGGCTCTGATTAATAAAACTTGGCACGTTTTACTTAATAAAAACAACAGACATTTCTGAAGATATCTGGATTAATTACTGGCAAGATAGAAGAGTTTTAAAGATGGGGAATGAAGGAGTTTGAATGGAGAGAAAATGGATGGATGAGGATGTATGTCTGTAGACCAGAACAACACGCTCCTTTCAAGCGCAGCTCACCCGCGGTACACTGGTAGTGAAGCTCGTGACGACTCTTTACCTTGGCAGAGGATGAATCAGCTGCGGTCAAGAGGTCCCTGGCACGCTACTTTTCAGCGTCTCCTCAGGGCGGCTGCGACTCGGCAGAAGCCGTGAGATAATCCGTTCCACAGAACAAACTTCCTCAGAAGTTATAGGGCATTCGCCGGGTGGACTCACATGAGCTGTGATTCCGTCAGAGGTTCCACTCAGATGTGGAAGGCTCCATAATCCCAACTAGACTCGGAAGAACTCCCAACTAACTCCAGCACTTCAGAACTTTCGGAACCTCTTTTCTGAACTTTTGGAACTTTTGTTCTCGTAATTGTCAACTTTTAAAGAGTTCTGCTTCCGGTCACTTTTGGGAAGTCCTGATTGGTTGAAAGAACCAACAGGGGTGTGGTTTTAGTGACGTCAGAGGGTCATTACAAGTCAAGAATACAACGGAGATGTTTAGGAACAGACAGAGAAATGTTTTGGAGAAATGACAGACTTACAGGTGCCAGTTTTCTTGTTTCTGTCTGAGAGGTTTAAAAACATGACAGTTCGTTCCAATAAACTTGTTTGCGACTGTCTCCGACTTTTGACCGACATCACTCTCTCATTTCAGACAGAAGATCAAAATGCATAATTACTTTGTAACAGACATTTAACTTGATTTCTACTTTGAATGAGGATTAAAAATCATTAATACTGTTTCATAGTTGATTTAAAATGAGTGGTTCACTTCAACATTTAAAATGGTTTGAACTAAACACACTTTTGATTATCAAGACATTGTAAAAATATTAATGATAATATGAAAAAGAGTGTTCTTTCAATTGATTAGTTCAGGATACAATTAGAAAGTCTCTGGATGAGCTAATTTGTATTTCTGGATTCAAATCAATGAAATAACAGTTCCTGTCCCATGAAGGTCTTCAGAGGCAGGTTTTGACCGGAGGCTCTGTTCACTACAGCTCGATAAGATGGCTAATCAAACATACAATAACTGCTGGTCTATAGAGTGCACCCGAATATAAGCCACCACACTAAATAAAAAAACAACAACAAAAAACCCAATTTTAGACACTT